CTGAATCGACTTTTCAATTCTCTATCCAACGATGCCAAAACGAATTCTGTGGCTCGAATGGTTCTTGAGAAACTTCCAATAAAGGCCATTTAGTTCTCTTTCAAATGATGTAAAAACGAGCGTTCTTGCTGATTTTGCTTCCGAGAAACATGCAATACGGGACGGAAAACATGAAATTTTGCAATAATCTTGCGCCACCCTTGCACAAAACGACGATAATTTTTCTAATTTCATAACAGAAGACTATATTTATTCTACCTAACCCCCCCCTGACTTTAAAGCTGGATCCGCCCCTGAATACGATGGTATAAAAGTGTGTCTATTGGTTGGAGATGATACGAAAGTGTTCTTTCGTATCATCATAAAAAAAATCATATCATAAAAGATAACTTTCGTATCATCGTAGCATCCTATAAACGGGGTTTACGCTTACTTCGTTGTATTTGTCTTCGGGCAGTGATGCTCGGTTTTTTTTGACCAGCATCCCCAACTGTCTTCGGGCCATTGGGTCGGGAATTCGCGCCCAATCAAATTCCATCGCCTTTCTCCAAGTCACCTTATCAAACTTTGCCTAAACGCGTTCACACTTATTCAAAAAAATCAATGCGCGCCCTAAATGAGCTTCACCTTTAGGGTTTGCTCTTCGATCATCCTCCTCTTGTTGTAGTCGGTCATGTTGGTGGAGTACGCCCATTGGGCTGAGCTCACCCTAAAGCACATGTTGGAGGCCTCCGTGTCGTATTCCCGAAGGAATTGCAGGGCTTCTCCCAATTTGACATTCGAGCCCTAAGAAAGAGGGTAATTTACAAATCTCGCAATAAACGCCCAAAACATTGTATAACAGTGAATGCTTCATTAGGCAAAGCGTTTTTTAAAATAACTCTTATTTTTAACCAGAAGTGTTAAAGCTGATGTCCGGTGTTTCGAGAACTTTTCCTCTGCACGGTTCCGCTCTCTAATTTCAGGTCAGCACACGCCTTATTGCTTGTATAAGTAGCTTACTGCCGAATTAATTAGTGCTTGAAAATCCGCAGTTTTGAACAATAAAAAATCCGATTTTCAAGCAATTTACTTTACCTGTCGAACTTGTAAGGGCGGGCCGTCATCATCACTCCTCGCAGGAATCCACAAGTTGAAGCACACAATAAGGAAGTTTAGTAGATTTCGGGACATTTTTGCAGCTCTTTTGCAACGGATAAATTAGCGGCAGCATAAATGTTCATCTTAAAAATTGGAATAACTGCACTCGAAAATTAGACGAGTTGCGAACCGTTTGGGCTTGTTCTCATATTGTGAGCGTGACAAATTATTTCCAGTCAAACGCATCCCTTGGAGCATGACAATGTGTCGTACGGTAACAAATCGCTTCTCTCTTCAAGAAAGTATTCCAAATTTAAGTACAGTTAGTGGAATACTTACTTGTAACGATTGTATTTTCTCCACTCGAAAAGGTAGAGAAACTGAACGGCTTTTTGGACTTTAGGTTGCCGTGGAAAATAATTTCCCCCGGACGTTTCGCTAGCAGGACTGGCTTGCATCTTCAGAGGTGGCTTGATCGGGAAGAAATTATTGTCCACGACTGCCCCAAGGCTCGAAAAGTCGCCAGTTTCGATCTACTTTTGAATTTTCATCTTTTGAGTCTCAAATTTGGGAGCCGTTTGCGACTCACTACTTTACCTTTAGATGGGCTGTCGCATACTTAAAAAAGCCCGCAAAAGGAAAGTTCCTTTTTATCGTTCGCGCCGATGAGATTTTAGTTATAAACGTTCACTTTTGCGCAACCACCAAGTACTTTCCGCTTCAAATATCGCACGAGCTTCGCTTTAAGCTACGAACGAGTGAAAACTGAATGGAATTAAACGTTTGAAACAGTTTTATAGCGCCGGTTGCATTATTTAATTCGCATCTTTCCGGCGATTTTGTCACAATTAACTTGTGTCTTAGTTAAATGCTTAGTGAAATTCTTGTTCAGGTTTAGTGACTTAAATGTGAAGACAAAATGGATCTTAATTTTTTTAAATAAATTGGGTTTCAATGCGAAATCTATTGAAACTGCAAAAATTGGGAAATCAATTATTTGGCATTTTTTACCACGCTGAGACAAGGGCGGATCCAGGGGGGGGGGTCATGGGGGTCATGGCTCCCCCCCATTCAATTCTCTATCCAACGATGCCAAAACGAATTCTCTGGCTCGAATGGTTCTTGAGAAACCTCGAAAAAAGCAGCGTCATGTTCAAGTGGATTTTGCAACTCAAAAAAAATCACGCAAATCTAAAACTTCTTGAATTCAAGCATTTTTTGAGGAAACTGCCAACATTTCCTTATCGATGGTTCAGTTTCTAAAAAGGACATTTATTTCTCTCTCGAATGATGTACAAATGAGCTTTCTTGCTCATTTTGCCTCCGAGAAATGAGCAAAAATGGGACGGAAAATATGGAATTTTGGCATAATCTTGCACCTAAGTGTTTGATATTCAAATTTCGCTTTCTGGGCCAAAACTACTCGAATTTCCTCACTCACGTTGTTACGACTGAATCGAGTTTTCAATTCTCTATCCAACGATGCCAAAACGAA